GAGTCAGGCAGAGAAAAAGAAATACCACATGTTCTCATTCGTTGGTGGGAGCTAAAAATAAACAAATTAATTCACCCACATACACACTCACAAAAAAACTGGGGGGGGGAAGAAGATATAACAACTATACTTTTTTGAAGTTGTTACAACAAGCAAATGGAAAGGACATTCTTGGGTGGGAGGGGAGAGAGGGAGGAGGGAGGGAGGTGTCAGTGATGGGCCATAACAATCTAATACATTGTATATTGATAAAATAAAAATTTAATGAAAAAAAAAAGTTTTCTACTTATTTTTCAGTTGAGCTGGTAATTTATATTATCCTCCGAGTCAGGCCTCCACCAGCAATGCTTTCAGAGATTCTAAAGTAACTATGGTAAATTCTATTAAGTCATTTTTGCAGTTTCAGAGGCTGTGAAGTCTAAAGTCCAGGGAACACATCTGGTGAGGGTCTTCTTTGGTGGTGGCTTTACAGCAATTCAGGGGTCTCACGTGGCAGAAAATGGCAGAGCAAAAAGCCCATTTCATTGTTATTTGGTAAATGTAGGATTTTCACATAGAGGTTTGGAAAATATGGTGGCAGAGCTAGAAAATGTCAGTTGGGGTCAAGTTTTATGTAAGGTGATCAAAGTCTATTTTATTATCCGATATTATTTATTATATATAAGCTACTTGACCCTGCTAAATTATATTTCAGTTATAACTAGCAGTTTCCATTTTTATTTTTGTTCTGAGAGAAAATACACCTCAGATAGTTATTTTACTGGCATTATTTTGTCTAGTTTCATTGCTTTTCCAGGAGCAGATGTGAGGCATCAAATGCCACTTCCTGTAAGATGTGGAAGGTAATAACCTTTAAAAGAGACTGCATGAAATTAAAAGGGATAAATATTCATCATGTCATAACAAGTATATGAGTATGTACACCTAGCTATACCAGAAAAATACCACACAAAAGATGAGCGTTCTGATAGGAATTAGTTGTGTAGATGTACCAGAGAGAGCAGCTTCACGGATGGAGACACCACAATGTCTGTGGCTTGAGGACCCTGCTGCCTTCGGATTCTGGCATAATTTGCTCTGACCTCCATCAGTTGTTTTAACTCTGTTAAAAACAATTAATTTGAGAGACAAGTCAACATATTTATAGAAAATAATTTAAAGTTCAAAATGATGAAAACCTTGAAGATCCCTCAGAAATCCTTGGCTCCTACCCTGGACTCTCATTACACACTTGACTTGCTTATCAAGTCAGGTATGTGTTAACATTCTTTAGATTTCTACAGAATGGAAGCTACTATAGAGGGCTTCTTTCCAGGCTTTTTATAAAGCCTGATTTGGAAGCTAACCTAGGAGTGGTCTAAACATTGAACCCACTGAAAAGATGGAAACCACAGAAATGAGAACAGTGTTAAGATTTTATGGCACATGGCATAAAGCATTCTTTTAATTTTGTTGGGGGTTTGTATAAAAGAAACCATTCTAATAGCATCTGGTTTGTTTTGCCACATCAAATTCATTTTTCAGAAACCCAATGTAATTCTTTAATGAGTAACTTCCACATGACAAATGTTTTTTGACATTATAGTACATAAAATAAGTTATTATAGAGTATTTAGTTTTGAAACTCCCAGGCTGCCTTATTTTCTTACTACAGAGTTAAACCAGTAAATCACAGAAAAATCACGAGTGGAAAGATTAATTAATTAAATGTTCCTTAACTACATACATGTAGTAGCATTTCTCTTTTCTTTTTTAAAGGGTTCTGAATATTCAGATTTCTATTAAATGGTTATTTCTAACTTAATTATTTAAAAAAAAACCCAACACAATGGCAACAGTAAAATAAGTTTCTAAAGAACAACTAAATCAGATTTTTTGCAGCAATCAGATTTCCCACAACATAATCCCTCACTGAAAAAAATGGAGACAATTGGTGAAAACCACCAATCCTTTCACCATGAAGGTATTATGGTGACATCATAGTAATCCATGTGTTTATAGCACTGAAGATGCAAAACTGAATGATTGTCTACATAGCCTTGTCAAAGGTTCAAAGAGATAACATGGAGAAAAATGGTAGGGAGTGTAATATTTGCATTTTCAGTTTTCTCTCTTCCCTTTACAGACTTTACTGGTGACAGGCTTGCTTCTGGGAAGGCAGCCTACATCTTTCTCTGTGGTTTGAATACTCTTTTGGCTAGCTTGCCTGAAGCATACTCAGCTCTATTTATCAGACATGCCCAAGGAGGGTAGCATACAGGCCACAGAAGCCCACCCCAAGAACAGGAGAAACCAGACATAAATAAATAATAAAGGCACTGGGAAAGCACCTCCTTCTGCACCACTCATTTGCTTACCATTCAATTGTGCCACAATCATTTCAAGTGTGTTCACAGTCTTAATTAGATTGAAAACTCTTTCAGGAAAAGAAGGCTGCCTTTTATTTTCTTTATAGGCTATGCACTTTGGGAACACAGAAAGCTGCCAACTAATACTTAGTGATGATAAGAACTGCATCATCGGTGTGTTCTTCTAAATAACCACTAATGTGGGTCATCAAAAACTGGGGTGATGGGTAATGGTGGATGATGAGGAAAGCCGAATACAAAGAATACATAGATTGGAGCCTCTTGCGTGATGCAGAATGCTGCTGGAAGAATATCTATGGCATCCTTGGACCAGCACTAGGCGTCCCAGGAAATCCTTGTCTTCCTACCTGTTGGTCTTTATTTCTATATTTTTGTCCCTTCTGGGCTAGATGCAAAGATATGATTTCAACTGTTTTAAAAGTTTTTGGTTTACCCACCTTACATATAACATAATGATAATAATTTTTTGGAGACTTTTTAAGTAGTAAAAAGTTTTTAAAAGTAAAAATTCTAGTATTATTATTTCAGTATAGAGATGCCAAGTAATTCACTCCCCAATCTCTTAGTTTCCTTGAAAGTGATAACAATGTTCTTCACAATTTCCTGAAAATTATGTCTTTGCTGATGCATACCTAACTACAGAAAGGGCCTTTAAATTCCTCAGGATAAACAACATAAAGGACAATCGTTCACTCAATAATAAATATATGTTCTTTTTAATTTCTGTCATTTACCAAAGAAAATGATCAAGGAATAGACAAGATAATAAAAACTAGCACATATTTACTTATTACTTATATTGGTCTGCTTTTGTTGCTTATAACAAAATACCTGAAACTGGGTGATTTACAAAGAAAACAAGATTTATTGCTTACAGTTTCTGAGGCTGGGAAGTTCAAAGTCCATCTGGTGGTGGCGACAGTGACCCAGGGGTCTCACATTGCAAGATGGTGGAAGCAGAGAGAGCAGAGAGAGAGACAGACAGACTCTCCTCTTTTAAAGCCTCCAGAACCATGCCCCTGACCACCATTTTTAATGCATTCACTATGGCTTAATCCTATAATCTAATCACCAGTTAAAGGCTCCACCTTTCAATAATAGGATTTCCCATCCTCTTAACAGTCACAATGAGGGCTAAGTTTCTAATACATAAAACTTGGGGAACACAATTCAAGCTTCAGTGTTTGGGGGAACATAATTCAATTCATTACATTGCTAAAGAAGGGAAATTTGCAAACTATCTGATACTACTAATGAAAGTTGTTTTAAATAACTTGAAAAGTAGGAGGTCAGTGGAGCCTCATTTTCCTCAAGGTTCATTCTAAGGGAATACCTTCAAATGAGGCCCTTGTAGTATTTCTCCAAATAAGCCCCCTGGATAAGGCTCAAGACTAACTGAAATTGATTATATTCTTTAGAGCAAGAATAGTGTTAACAATGAGGTTCCAGCACATAAATGTATAAATTTAACTTTCATAACAAGGAGTAGGAAAGGGTGGGGGAGGATAATTACTAAAATCATCATAATGGGATGTAAAATTTAGTAAGTAAGCTCTTGGAAGAAAATACTTAATGATTTAATTATTCGAAGACTTGATGGAAAAGAAACGGTCACCCATACCTTTTGTGGTTATAAAGCCATGTCCCGTAGACACACATATAACCATGTCCCGCTCTATGTCATCCCATGACTGAATCAGCTTTCCATCTGTCGTGTACAGTGTTCTGGCTGGGTGGGCCATTTTGAGCCGAGAGGAGCAGTCATCCAGCAGCTGAAACATGAAGGGACAGACAAATTTGAACATGGAATGTCACAGTGTAATTATTAAAGAATTAACTCTTCTAAGGTCACTATTATCCAAATTTGAATATTCACTCACTTATAATTGTTAGAAATAGCTATAAAGGGATGGGAGGAAGGGCATAAAAATGTTCCCTCAAGTGCTTAAATGACAAGTGGAGTTTTCCTTGTAGTTCTGTATTTATTTTTCCACGGAAAAAGGCTTCTTGCTGTTTAAGACATTCCTCAATATGATAAACTCTAGACTGAGAATCTCAGAATAACTAAAAAAAAAAAAAAAAAAAAAAAAAAAAAAAAAAAAAAAAAAAAAAAAAAAAAAAAAAAAAAAAAAAAAAAAAAAAAAAAAAAAAAAAAAAAAAAAAAAAGTTTCTTAATGTCCCCAAGAAACTAGAATGACAAAACGTGAGGAGACCCAGGCTCTGGTCTCTGTGTGACCTCAGACAAGCCGGGCAACTTTACTATGAAAGAGATTCCTCAGCCACAGAATAAAAAGTTTTAGTCAAAGACCTCTCTGGCTTTATGATTTGATTATTAGAAAAATTTTTTAAATATTTTGATAAATTTTAAAACTATCTAGAAGGGCTTTATTCAACTTCTCTTAATTTTCTTTCTTTTTTTTCTTTTTTTTTTTTGGTGGCTGGCCAGTTCGGAACTTCTCTTAATTTTCCTTGAAATACTCATAAAAACACATGCTCAGAAGCAAAGTGCCAACAGTACTACAAAGATGAGTCAACATGCTGCCAGACCCCTGAGGGCAATTCTGTTAAAATGTGAGCAAGGCTTTAAGGCAAAATAATAAAAGCCAGCAGAAAGAACATGAGAAATCTCTACACATCTGCCCATATGACTTTCATCTGTCAAAGGGCCAGAAGCCTGTTCCCCAAAAATGCAGAAGCCAGGTCCATGCCAGCTCCTGAATCACTATCAATACTTGTGTTTATAGATCTACTTAAGGGCTACAACTCACAACAATGCAGCATGGCAGGGGGCAGAACTGGGCACATGATGACATCTTGCATGTGGAAAATGAATGAGTGACATGAAGCAAGGTAAGAAGAATGATGAAGCAATGCAATTCAAAGAGTGCAGTTTTTCACCCATTATTTTGAACAAGGAATAAATGGAGTTGAATAATTGTTGAAATTATGCAAGAATACATTCTCCACTGCAGGATGAAATAGTTAGAAAAGAGCAGTGGTAGAGTGGTCTTAAATGCAGCCCTACTCCTGCTAAATAACAGCCAGTCAGCAAGCAGAACTGTCACTAAATACCATGCACGTGAACCAACCATCCAACTTAAGACAGAGTGGAAGATTCTGACAGCTCCCAAGCAGACATTTAGAGTGACCAGAAGTAACTAACCTATCCTGTCTATTATCAAAAGATCTCTCCTTGTACAAGGGGGTATATACATAGAAAAAAAAATAATAGCAACAATGGGAGGCTTATGAAAATATTCTACAACATGAAAAAAAAGGTACATTGTACTCAAGGTGAAGATTTTGAAAAGATTTACAGCAGGAGTGCATTTTAGAGAGTATTTGCATTGTGCTCCCTCAAAATTCAATAAAATATGACTTCCATAAACACACACACATACACACACAAACACAGAAGTGAAATGACAACAGCTTAAAGGAAAGGAGTATTGCAGAGATGTAAGAGATGATGATGATGACAATGATGGCAGCTAAAATGTATTGAAACATCCCTATGGGCTAAGTACTTTTCTAAAAGTCCTCAAGGACAATGTAATCTCATTCTATGGAAATAATTATTATGCTCCTTTTGTGATGAGAAAAATGGGCAACAGAGAGGTTAAAAACAACAGTAAGAGAAGAAATAAGGCTTCAAGTTGGAATGAAGAGAGCTGAACAAGAAGGGAAGAGAAGGTAAGAAAGTAAAAAGCTCAATATTGCAGAAAATCAAATCAGTATTGGGGAGGACTAGGTTGAGAAAATCTCATAGGATACAGAGAAAGAAAAAGAGATAAAATTTATAAGAGGAATGTCAAGACATCAGATATTAAACTTGTGCATTATTTGGAGCTACTGGAGAAGAATCCAGAATAAATTAATCTTGAGCAATTACCAAAAAAAAAAAAAAGAAGAAGAAAAAAGAAAACTTTCCTATCCTAAATAAAGTCCCGTGTCTCCAGATCAAACAGGCTAACCCAGGATAAGGCAAAGTTAATGAAAAAAAATGACTAATATTTAAATATAACATGGTGAAAAGTATAGATTTCAAGCATGGGGAGTGGAAATTCACGTGTGTTTAGACTGTTTTCTGCAACAATGAATACCATAGAAAATGGAGCAAAATCTGTAAGGTTTTTAAGGAAAAGTTATTATTTATGGTTAAAAGCAACAAATTACGTCCTCCCATATACAAAAACTCAGAAGGCATATCACATGTTTTTCAGATTATTAAGAAATGAATCAAATTCCTTGACTATAGGAAAGTCATAACATAAAATGACTAATATTAAGCATTAAGACTACTAGAACATAATACAACTGCATAAAAATAATCAGAAAATAAAGTAAAAATTTAAAAATAAATCTTTACAGAGAAAATAATAAAATAAAAATGTAAAACATCACCTAAAAGGGAGGTGGGCAAGGAAAAAAAACCCCAAAACATTCATTCTCATAACTCATGAGGGAAAAAATACCGTTTCCTTCTTTTCTTAAAAATATTTATTTTATTATTATAACCAATTCAGTAAAACAAAACACCAGAATCCTTTATTCTTCTAAAGGAGTAGGCAAAATCATCATCATGTGAAGTTAATATGATTTCATTCTTAGAAAACTTAGGTGAATCAAATGAGAAATTAATAACAAAAATAAGAGCACTTTAAAAAGTGGCCAAATTCAAAATAAATTTTAAAACATTATAGTTTATCTGTTCACCAAAAATAGACATTTAGAAAATACAGTGGGGGAAAAACCCATCCCAACCACAAAATCAACTAGGAGTAGCAGCTATTTAAAAATGTGAGACCTTATTAAAAACTATAAAATTTTACTGAAGGACCTAAAAGCAAAGAGACTTGTATGTATATAAAAGAATTCCACAAGCCTGGCTGCAAAGTTCGAATATTGTAAAAGGTATGAATTCTTATGAAGTTAGTTAATAGTCTAATACAACTACAGTCAAAACCCCTTCAGGATTATTTCATGATATTGAAAGGTAATTCCAAAATTTAATTTATCTACAAGAATCAACAGGCAAGAACATTCAAGTAAAATCTGAAAACAAAGTACAACAATAGGCAACTTCTCCTTTCAGATATTAAAATATATTATAAAGCTATAATAAATTTTTAAAGCATTAGGTACCTTAGATAGCTTAAAAGCAAAAGCTAAATATTAAGATTTTAGTATATTATAAAGTTGGCATTTCAACTCAGTGGGGAGGACAAAACAAGACTTGTCAGTAAGTAGGGCTCAGATAATGTTAGGCCAACAAATAAAGCAGAAAAAATAGCTTCACTCAAATTTTACACTAGAAGAAAAGGAAAAGGGAAAAACACAATTATAAAAATTATCTTTTTTTTTTTTTTTAAAGATGACCGGTAAGGGGATCTTAACCCTTGACTTGGTGTTGTCAGCACCACACTCACCCAGTGAGCTAACCAGCCATCCCTATGTAGGGATCCGTACCCATGGCCTTGGTGTTATCAGCACCACACTCTCCTGAGTGAGCCATGGGCCGGCCCACACAACTGTAAAAATTAAAAGAAATATCAGGTGAATCTTTGTATGAACTAAGGATAGGAAAGGACTATATGAACATTGAAAACAGTGAATAAACATAAAATTTATTACTTTCTGTACATTAAAAAATCCCATAGACACAATGGCAAATTGGAAATTTGTTACAATAAATCTGATAAATTTATATATATAGACTTACTACTTCAAAAAGAAAAAGAAAATCCTTAATACGAAAAATGCATTCAATGGAAAAATAGGAAAGAACTAAACAGGGAGCTCAGAGATGACTAATAAATGATAATACAGAACAGAACAAAATCACCTCTACAAGTAATTAGAGATATATGAATTAAAACATAGATATACCATTTTCTCCTGTCAAACCTGAAAACACATGTTTCTAAATCACTGCACTTCATGTTGTTGATATCTTCATTATGCAATAGTTAGATGGGAACTCTCACTCACTACTCATGGGAACATAAATTCCTGAAACATTTCTAGAAAATAATCTGGCAATAAGTATTAAAATTCTTAAACATTTGATTTAGCAATCCTTCTATGAATTTACTTGAGGGAAATGATCAGAAAATAAATATAAAATTTATAAGTCAATATGTTCATTGTAGCATTGTTCATAATAGCGAAAAATTAAAAACAACCTATTTGGCAAACAATAGAAAATTGGATGAATAAATTATTATTTGCAAAAGTAAGACTGCAGTAGATTCATATGGTTTTCTTTTGTGATTTTTCTAAATTCTTCATAACAATAGTCACTATCTTAGTCGCTCAGGTTGACAAAACATATACCACACACTGGGTGGCTTAAAAAATAGAAATTTATTTCTCACAGTTCTGGAGACTGTGAAGTCCAAGATCAAGGTGTCAGCTGATTCAGTTCCTAGTGATAGCTTTCTTCCTAGCTTGTAGATGGTCACTTTCTTGATATGTCCTCACATTACAGAAAAGAAAAGAGATCTCTCTCTTTCTTTTCTTATAAAATCACCAAATCTATCAAATTAAGGCCCCATCCTTATAATCTCATTTCACCTTAGTTACTTTACCTCCTAAAAGCCCTGTCTCCAAATATAGTAACATTGGGTTTCAGGGCTTCAACATATAAATTTGGGGGAACAAAATTCAGCCCATAGCCATTTTTCTTTTCTGCCTCAAGGCAACCAAAGGGTTTGTATGGTGGCTGAGTTTCTATCTGGGCTAGGAGCATTGGGGGGCTGTCCCAGAAATA